GTTTATATTAGAAGGGCTACATATCCAAATTGAACCAACATCTTCACAAAATTAGAATACATTTTCTCACTCACATTTTTAATAGCCGGAGAATGTTTTGCCTTCGTCGGGGCCACAGTTATACGCTATTTTACACTCTAGCCAAGTACACCTTCCTTGAATATGTTCTATTTATTCTTGTCCCTCGTTGCTTACGCCGGATATATGTCCCGAGAACATCTGCAACTGCAAACATACGAGAAGAACCGACAGAGGCTTCGAGTTAGTACGTTACGGATATTTCGGCCCTAAATCCTTGGGCCTCATGACACATATGCCACCGGGCTGCCTTTTATGAATCCGGGAGGTACGCTCGATTTAGGGTAGCGCCGGCAGTCCTGTGAAAACCTTGCAGAAAACGTTGTATCATAATTCTGGAATATACCATTTGGCCCGAAACTCACTTTTATTGCTGTCCACGGCGTAAACAGTTGTATTACGTAAAAAAGCTTCTGTTTGTATAAGTTAATTGCGAAATATCACATGCAATGCCCATCAAATAAGCTACGTACTACAATGAAAGTAAAATGGGAGATAGGTTACAATGTAGTTATTACGTACAATACGATATATGCTGCCTTATTACACGACTTCGAGTCGATTTCACTACGACTGACTACTGATGCTTGATAACAATGATGTAAGCAAGTTTTCCAAGCTTCCCTCGAATTACGAAGTGTGTTTAAGAAACCTAATACTGATAGCCAACAGCTCAAGCACTTTGAGAGCATAGAAAACTGAGTTCCTTTTTCACAAAAACATTCTGGTAGCCATCAACAGGTCTGCATCATAATTACCCATCTATGTATATGTTGATCTTACTTCTAGAATGATCGGAGAAAACAAAACGTGTAGATGATATGCTCAACATGTGTACCATCAAAAATGACCTCAAATATATTGACTTCATTTTCTCGAGCTTCGTATCAGTTTATAAATATTATGTGAGGTTTAGAAATTCTTGATACCTAATAGACACTTTGTTAATCCGATCTTTGAACTGCCTAAGATTAGTAGAACTAGGAAAATCCTCCTCATGTAAATTGTTTCTCAATGTCTATACCTTAGATTGAGAGGCCAAAGTCAGGCTCTGTCTGGCAAGCACATCGCGCGGTGGCATCATGGAGCAGAGCTCTGAGGAGCAAGGCCCGTTGGCGTAGCGGTATGATAGAGCTACATTGTCGACAACCCGCCGGTGCGAAAGGGTCCCGAGACTGTTCGTACCCCAAACATAATTATGAGCAATACTCGCAGCTAGGTATGATGTGGGCCTTGTACGTCATAGTGTGGAGGTCATGTGGACAAAAGTGTTTCACAGCCCTAAACAAATAGCCTAGCTTTCCCAAACCTTACGTCCGACGGACTAATACATGAAATAACGTTCCGAAAATTACATCAAAGCATGTGAACTAATGCCATTTTACAGCACAATAAATATTTATTTAATAAAGGTAGTGTAGAGGAGACTAGGAATGGTTTTAACAAGTTACGTTTAAATATCATCTACTCAAAACCATTCGTATCGCCGTGTTAGACGGCTGTTGATATAACTCGCATCCCTATAGCGTAACATTAAGCAAAGAAAGTAAATATTTCTAATTAGCCCCTCATGATATAAATGTTCATCATTACAGTCATGATATTTCAATATTTGCATGCGTGGGGGTACTATAGACAATCAAATGTTTGATTTCACAGATTCAGTTAAATTCTTGGTGTAATTTTTGATACCAGAATGACGTTTATTGAGCAGGTGAAGAGTATCTGTCAAAAAATTTGTTCTCGATTACGTCCTTTAGTAGCTCATATCTATCTCCTTAATTTTAAATTACATAACAAACTGTGTTATGCTTTAGTTGTATATATCTTAAGTTACTGTAATATTGTGAATTTCCTATCATTGAATATATTGTCCAGGTAATTCAAAATAATTGTGTGCGGTTTAGATTCAGATTGGCTAAATTTCACCAAGTTTCAGATAAATATCAATACTAAAGTTCATGAAAGCAAATGATTTAGTAAGGTATCATTGCTTAAATTTTACACATAAACTGTTGCTATCTTTGAAGCCTCGTTATTTCAGTGAACAGATTTCTTTTAATACGGATGTATATATATATATATATATATACTACTGCTCATATATATATATATATACAGGGTGTTCGCAAAGTTGAGGTTTTCCTTTTCAGACACAACTACGCAAAGTTAATGTGTGGGGAAACGTGAGCGAACAAGTAAAAAAGAAATAAATGAAAAAGTACTCACTATTCAGTTGAATTGAAATACCAAGTACGGATCTGTCGTAAAATCCGTATTGGCGCTGTGAATGTGATCGAGGCTTAGGACAGGACCGGCTTTGGTTTGGTTCAGGTTTGAGTGACTGGAGCACAATATCTCGGTTCTCATAAGACATTGGTGTATATGCTACTAAGAAAATCCGCTTATTTTCCCAAGATCTACTCGTCGTGTAAAGGAAAACAAGAGTATTATTACATCTGTACTACAACGATGCGCAAAGCTGTCCAAACGTGTAGGTTTAGATATAAATGTAACATTTACTATTTTCATGTATATCACCTGAGAACATTTTTTTTTTATTGATTTTGTATTTTTTTAAATGTGGTATTACTAATGTACAACTTAACGCATGTTGGGGGTTGATAAGTATAACATAAGAGTATAAAATCCAATCAGTGCGCTGTAATTTTGTCGGCTTACTGTTATTATTACTTTAGCGGTTTTATTGTACTATATAGCTTTGCGTAGACTATTGTGCTCTGCGACTGTAGCCATCTTATTGTCAATTTAGCGGCGTTCAGGTAGTTGTGACTGGACGGTTCTAACACCACTTTGTCATTCGTTAGGTATGCATGCACAACAATAGCGCCGCCTAGCGGATGAGCTTGCAAATAGTATCTAATCATTGACGTTACTGTAACTACAAATCCCAGGGCAAGATTTAGGACGTGCTACTCTTACACTTAACAGAGTCTATGGTAGTGAGAATTATAGACACCCTGAAAACCAAGGGCCGTATCGTCAGTCGTTTATACAATTGTAGAGAGCCTTTTTAGCCTCCTTGATTTTCATAGTATTTTCTCTCCTTCGAAAAGGCTGGACTGTTTCTAGATTTCTACTGTTCCGTGTTAGTGGCAGCGCTCTCCTATTGTGAGGCTATATTTTCTTTCTGGATTGTAAAAAATTTCAGGCTGATATAAAAGATATGACCTAAATTTCAGGCATGAAGTTTTTGATGCAAATAGATATTTGTAACATAATCTCAAAATAGAGCTTTGACACGGAGCAGTAGAAAACTATGAAAGTAAACGAGGCCATAAAGGCGTCCTACAATTGTAGGAACGACTGACGATACGGCCCTAAATCTCATTATGTAGAATTTGTATATGTTCTTGTTTTTCAGAGTAGTTCTGGAAAATAATGCTCAAAATGTAAACTACATTAATACACCGTGATATCGAGGTTGGAAGTACACTCTGGCAGGTACTTTCCGAGTTACAAGAGGGCAATGATTAACGAGTAATCAGAAACCCGGAAAACCTTATATCTCGATTTGGTTTTAAGATTGCAGTACTTCTCCGTCCCACAAGCGTAGACGTCATCGAACGAATGTGTGAGAACCAGACGAAGCAAAAATCCTGTAGGAACAAAAAGAAAACCTGAAAATACATCTATTTACCTTGTAAATGCATCCGACGGAATTGTACACAATCTGCATTTTATTGTGACCTATTTCCGTGTGACGTAAGTATAGCCACGCTTTAATTTTATCGCGGACATTTATAACAAAATTGGGTACAAAGGATTACGGTAAGTCTTCCAAGAATGATGTGCACCTGAGACCCTCTGTCAACGGCAGAGGCGGTTACGTCGAGGCTTAGCTCGAAGCCTCCTTTTAAATATAGATGCTAATATGACATCGGCAGTTGAATGTTTCACGAGCGAGCATTATTTGCATCTAACGATATTTTTGTGTTTAATAACTTCACTCAGCTGATAATGTTTACGCACGATAAACGGATAAATACACGGTGAACCATAAATTTTTGCACCTTTGAAATTTTATTGACTAAAAATATAGATTGTATACAGCTAAATGTTTATTTAAAATAAAAAAATGCCGAAAATCATGTTTTAAAAGTAATATCGTCCAGATGGCCACCATCTCGTTATTGGCGTTCCTTAAAGCTGGCCCTTAGATTTCCACATAAAATGCCGGATACTTTAACCATTTCTTGGTGAATATTTTCTTTTAGTTGGAGGATTGCTGCTGGTTTATTAAATTCCATAAAAAGGGATCAGCTGGAGTTAGTTCAGGCTGCAGGGAGGCCATGGAATCTTTCCTCTGCAGAGGAGCACTTTGTTTGGATCATCACGCACATACACGCTTACTTGCCCCACGTTCTCTTTGCTCCGTTTGCTCTGTAGCCAGCTGAGTGTGAGGTTACATTAGATGCAAGTCCGTGCGTTTTTTAAGTCATGTGCTCGGACGAAATTCAGCCGGACGACTAAACTGGTTACATTACATGCATGAGTAACGAGGGCAGTTCGTAGTTTGAAGTGTTAACAAAATGAATGCTACTTCTCTGCTATTGTTTGAAAATAGTATGCTAAAATATCTCATCGCGGAAAAGAAAAGAAAATATTGGATCAATGATTTGTATAAAACCAGGAAGAACGAAAGTGAATATGTCAGGCTGTTCCAGGAATTAAAACAGCAGCCATCAAAATTTTTTGAATATTTTAGAATGTCAGCATTGACATTTGACTACATTCTGAACAAAATTGAAAAGAGAATTGAAAAACATTCTAACTTCCGGAAATGCATTGAGCCAAGGGAAAGATTGTCTATAACCCTAAGGCAGGTATTTATTAAAAATAAACTTTTTATTTATATAATTGTATAACATTTATTGGAAAGTATGAAAATATGTTTGAACGTTCTCAGTACTTAGGGTGGTTGGAAACATTTGATTTGTATTATTATCAGATACAGTATTAGTTGAAGACTGATACGAAGATGGTGAAGGAAGCGATGTAGCGACAAGATTTTGAGCAGTTGAATTGTTGAGCAGCATTTTTTGTTCAGTTATAAATAGTTGCTGGATTTTAAGTCGCATGTACATATTTCTCAGAGATGGTAGGCTCTTCATTTGTGGTAAAAGGCTCATCAGAAACATATAATCGCTGTCGTTGTTATAATGATTATTGTCATTTGTAGAGCTCATTGCAGATAACTTTGCCATTTTTTTCTCTTCTAAAGCTAACAGCCGATCATACATAGTTGTTTCTTTCTTTTTTTTTTGAATTAAAAATAATTTTCTCTTCATTGACTCTTGTTTGGGCTTCAGGTGTGCGGAAATTTTCATTCTCTTCATCTTTATCTCGTTCATTTCCTTCATCATCATGCTCTTCTTCTGTGTTTACATCAGAACTATTACATTCACCAAAATCTGTATTCCTCGGTGAGTGTATTGCACTACTCTGTTCTGTCATTTGAATATTACCACTTGAAGATCTATTGGTCATGGAGTCCGTTAAAAATAACATAGCATCAAAATAAGCCCATTTAGTTTTTTTTCCGCCTTCGTCTCCTGAACGACCTCTTGACACTTTATTCAATTCTTTGCGAAAATTATCTCTGAAGCTTCTCCATTTACTTTTTACTTCTGCACCTGCAAAAACGACTATAGTAAAGCTCCATTTATCAAAATAATAATTTTCATAGTAACTATACGCAACACCTAAATAGATTTTTAATATTTTCAGATACTTGTCAACTGGAATGCCATTTCGTTCATTGGCATTTTCATTCAGAATGGCACACACGACTATAAGAAAAATAGTCTATGAAGTATGTCAAGCTATATGGGAAATGAATCAGGAACACATGCCATATCCAACAGTTGAAAGACATCTATCAATAGCTAATGATTTCTTCTTGAAATGGAATTTTCCAAATTGTATTGGTTGTATTGATGGTAAACACATAAGAATCCGTTGTCCACCGAATTCGGGCTCCATGTTTTGGAATTACAAACATTTCTATTCCATTGTGCTTCAAGCAGTATCTGACGCTAATGGAAGATTTCTGTATATTGACGTTGGCAGTTACGGCAAACAGAGCGATGGAGGAATCTTTTCAGCTAGTTCTTTAATGTATCACTTGGAAAATGCAAGTTTTAATGTTCCACATAAGAGAAAGATTCCGGGCACAGACGTGCTTGCTCCACTTGTCCTGTTAGGTGATGAAGCTTACCCTCTAAAAGTATATTTAATGAGGCCATATTCTGGTAGAGGGCTGGATGAACAAAGAGAAGTATACAATTATCGATTATCACGAGCACGAAGAATTATTGAATGTGCTTTCGGAATTTTATGTGCTAAATGGAGGATTCTCAAAAAAGAAATTGAATGTCACGCAGATAAAGCTGAAATTATTGTAAAAACTACATGCCTTCTTCACAACATAATCATCGATAGAGAAGGATTTAGCAGCGAGATCAATATTCAAAGAAATACTCCTGCAACTTAGATTAATAATCTTCCTCCTTCAAGAAGAAGTAACCATTCTACAGATGCAGCTTGCAATACACGGGAAATATTCAAAAATTATTTCTATGATCCAACTGGTTCAGTGTCATTCCAGTATGTTTGCAATACAAATAACAGCAATAAATAAACAAATTTTAAATATGTTTTTTTTTTAGAAATATCATTAACTGTAGGTATGCGTAATATTCAAAAATCAATGTGAGTTTAATGAAATACTTCGATCATAATTATATTTGCACTTACTTGTATACTTCATCTCCGTAGCAACTTCATCCCAAAGTCCTATTATGATAGTCTTTGGATTTTTGATCCCACAAAGCATTTCGTCTTTGTACAAAAGTTATCAATTTTTCATTATCCATTTTGCAACTTGGAAATTGTCGATATTTTTATATCTGCATATACTTCTCCGTATACGCATGAAAAATCAAACCAGTTTGATTTCGTCCGACCTCCGGATAAAGACGTAAGTACTCCGACGTACAAGCTCAGACCAGTGTAACCACACGTGTTGGGTAGAACGCGTTTGATTTTCGCTGCGAGCACGTCCGCGCGCGTACGACTTAAAAATCGTATGGACTCGCATCCAATGTAACCGCCCGCTGATTGTTTTTGACTGAGAGTCGTGCCAATTGCTTCGAGGTTTTTAACCTATGCTTTAATTGAATTAACACTTCGGCACTAACTAATACTGTACGATTAGTAATCTGATCCAAGATTTTTGTAAAAGTGTTTTATATGGAAGCGATCCATCCAAGAAGCCCAACGTGAGTAGTCCCGCTCCCTCCAGAGCTATTATAAGAGTGCGAGCATTTATGGCCCACTTGTATAAGTTTGCTCATAAAATATTCAATATTTGGTGTTGTGTCGACTGGGAAAATCCGCTTCATGAGGCCTGAATCTTTTGCTTACATATATAAACAAAATCCTTTCTCCATGCAATGAACGTTATATTTCGAAATATTTGAGAACGACTAAGAAATATAAATATGTATAATGTTGCATATAGCTCATCGCAACAATCGCCATAATGTTGTTAAGCGTCTCTAAATGTTATCAGAAAGAAAACATTTGTACCTTACTCCTCTGACACAAAAACTGAGATATAACCCTCAGCCCCCAAATGTTAACACCTACAAGTTTCACTTCTGAAAATGATCAGGTGCCTCTGTAACGCCAAAAAAAAACAAGTTTAGGCCTTCTTTATTTTTTTTTTGTTTATAACTCCGCTGTTACTGAATCGACTTTAAAAAGTTATAGAGCTGTTTCGTCCCTGGCATGGTCACAACCTTGTGACAAAACTTCATCAAAATCCGACTTGTTCCTGTCAGGTTATAGCTGGACCACAGCTCAGACAGACGTAAACAAGTGACATGGTTTTTGTGTCTTACATGTCATACGAACTCGTTTTCAATTTTTTGTCTGGATTACAATACTTCCTCGCTGGGTGGCTGGTCTCAATTCCTCATATTCTGTACTATGTACGAGTTTTTCAATATTGTCTCATTTACCGCAAAAGTAGAAGCTGCTTTAATAATTTGCAACATACCTTGTTTTCGAAAATTCAGTTGTTTTGTTTAATGAAAATGCCGTCATCATATAATTAGTAGGGCTTGCACAGTGCAGTTACAGAGAAAATACAAACAACAGGGGCTATTTACATACACTCGCATATGATTCGAGATTTTCCTGGATGGCTGCATAAGAGTCGACGGCTCCAACCTACCATGAATTAGGAACTTCATGCCTGTTTTTCGCTCATAACTTTCGCGCAACATTGCCAGAATATGTTGCTGAATACAGACTTTTTTTCGTCAGGGTCCCCATACTAGGTCGAAAAGTTAAAATACATTCTTGATACATGGTACTTACACCGACCTATTTTTTACACCGAAGAAGTCGCACGGGCAGAAGACTAAATACCAGCGCACCGCGGTTGCAATGAGGAGCATAAGGAAACTTTGATAATTCGATTTTTGAACCGCCTAAGGTAGTTAGAACTGGGAAAAGTCTCCTCAGGTACGTCGTTCCACAATCTCGGTACCCTAGGGACGAAAGAGCGGTCGGATCGGCCAGTTCTGGTTGTACGAAAACACAAGACAGGGACATCGCGGCATCATGGAGAAGAGTTTCGAGGAGCAAGGTCTGTTGGCGTAATGGTACAACAGAGCCAGATAGCCGACGGACCGTCGGTGTGAGACTGCCAGAGAAGGGTCTTAGATCAGTCTGACAGCCCTCATTTGAATAGCATCGAGCATGGACAATGAAGTAGGAGCAACAGTACCCCAAAAATGTGAGCAGTACTTGCAGCTAAGTCTTATCTGGACCTTGTATACAGTGAGGAGGTTTTGTGGTAGCCCAGAACAAATAGCCTAGGTTTTTTCCCAACAGCTACCATTACTGACCAGATGTGTTTGTGCCAGATCAAGACCTCGGTGATCTGGACTCCGACCAGAGGAAATGAGGGGCTCTTTGGTAGAGCTCGGCCATCCATCGAAACCGGTTGAGCACTAAGATGCTTCTTGTTAGTTTTTTGGAACCATTAAGCTGTATCAGATTGTTTCATCTCTAAGCAGTGATAACTTCTAGACCTCTCCTTAGAGAGGAATTTGCTGCTAGCTTTCTTTTCTCCAGGTCACCGTCAGAGATCGGATTGTATCTCTGGTTTCCCGCATGTAGAGTGCTGTCATCAGGAAAGCTGCGGATCAAGTGGGACATTCAGGAAAGGATGTCTTTGATATGTAAGTGGAACAATGTCGGAGCCAAGACCGATCCCCGGGGAACATCCGCGTTGACACTGTGAGATGAAGATAAAAACTCGTCAATTTCGATGCATATTTTGTGACCAGTGAGGAAGCCAACCACCCATCTGCAAAGCAGGCTGGCTGTCTCGAATCATGCCGTGATGTTCGAGGTACACCAAAAGCTTCCGATTTATGCACCTCTCCATCACCTTGCTTGCTTATAACAGAAAGCACAGTTATATGCCTGTAGTTGTAAGTCTCGGTCATATAGATATATATACATATATATATATATATATATATATATATATATATATATATATATAGGTGAAAAATTAAAGGTTCCGCCTTTTGTTGGGTACTTCGACAAAATTTAAGCAAAGAGGACTCTTTATACTTTTTTAATTCTCTCTAGCTTTCAATGGACTTTGCCAGCATCATCAGGAGCTGCAATTACAATGATAACAGTAGCAACAAAAGTGTAAAATGAATTTAAATTGACTCAACTTACAGTAGTATGTGAGGATGTTGCTAATTGTTGTTTACGTATAGGATGAGGGAAACGTCCAGTAACATGGTGAGAGCTGGATAGATGGTACAATGGTCAAAATTATATAAAATATGACAAGAACAAGTTAAAAACAGATTAAAAATTATTTAAAAACATCAAAGCATTACATCGTGAAGCCACTTGATGATTGCACAAAATGGTGGTCATGGAATAATGAGTGAGATGAACCCTTTGACAGAAGGCCGAAGGTTGTCAATGTCTGTGTAGAAAGATGGAACGAATTGTGGGCGTGTGCCAACGTTGCCAAATCACTTCAGATGATAAGATTTTCAGAATGTTGTGTAAGAAATTGTTAAACCGACCAGAGGCAGTTGAATAAACTATATTTTAATTAATGGGAATTTAAATTATAATTATTAATAAATCGTGAGAAGAGAATTATTAGATTTTGAGTAGAATGAAATTTACTGGTGGAATCGGCCAAAACACAGATTCCATTATGGTTGTGAAGAGTCGAAATTTGGGGAGATATGTAAGTTCTCCAATTTTTCGCAGTTTAGCAAATATGAGTAAATGACACTCAGTTGTCTTTCATTTTTGAAAAAATGCAGTTTATAGTGAGGACGGATTTGCAAGCAATTCGGAAGTTCAAAGGACTGCACAATCTGATCAGCTTAGGGGTCAGTTCCTTGATATAGGGCAGGACAGCAAAACCAGGTCTGGAGTCCGGGTTGGTGCTTGTACTGTTTGGATTGATGCTATTATTGGGTATTACATCAGTTCCGTTATTAGGGGTTTTGCGACTATTACCTGCATCACCAGGGTTCGGCAAAACATTGGAAGGTGAACT